TATTTGTTGTGCTTAGTTGTTACTACAAGATATCATAGTTAGGAATACATTCCGAGCAGCTCAATTCAGAGATATTATTATATTATTTATATACAAACAAACATTGGAGCCAAAAAGGGAAGAAAGAAAGAGGCAGGATGCCACTTTGAGAATGCTTTAACTAGAAATAGAGATTCTCCAGTGCTTTCCCAGGTGGGCTTACCTCTGAGTTGAAAGTCGAGATTGAATGTAAACTTGGCTTCTGATTTGCATTTGGGTTCAATTATGGAAGTCCCTCTGGTGTCTAGTGGGAATTAGCCTTTGCTCTGAGGATATCGAAATATGTTCTGGATGCCATAGACCAAAGGAAAGCAGAGACAACAAAACTTTGCCATCAGCTGAAAGAAGTCTTCTAACAGCCAAATAACTAGCCAAAAAACTCTCCACATTTGTTTCTCTCACTTGGCTTGCTCAGGAAGGTTAGTTCAACTTCCAAGTACACATAGTAAGTGTCATCGGGGACAGTGAGTATGCACCAGTGTGACTGCTGGTTGTTAATATTTTCAACTGTTTCTCTACTGCTTGTAAGTAGTTCTACCTATTTCCACAGGTCAGTATAGAAATATGTCTATACTGATTGATTTCTCAAATACATTGAGTAGCTCCTTAGGCTTAGTATCTCAGGTATACCTCCATCCCTCCATAATCCAGCATCCAAAGGGATAAATCCTGGCATAAGAGGGGTCTCCAGAGCATCCCTCCCTCTTGAGAGGTCCCTGTCCCTACCATGCCTGTTGATAGATATTGTAAATATAACCCTCGGCACAGTCCATCTGTGTTCAAATATGTATCTTTCTGATTCCAAATTCCTCTTTTGTTCCCATTTTGCTTCTGGTTTCATATATTGATGAAAATCTTATGCTTTTACATTTCTCACAGTAATAAATAAACTTGTGAAAAAACATGAATCTTAAATGATATACACTGAATCATTACTTTAATCTTGCTTACTGAATCTGTAATTTCTCCCACTCGAAGCTAGATCCCAGACCAACCAGCATATGCTTTTACTCTGCTTCAGTTAATGAAGTAATGAAACTTTGTAGCTAATGATATTTAAAAATTTGTAACAGGTTTATTTAACTGTCTTCTGTGAAAAAAGAAATGAGTACTGTAATGCTATTGCTATATATCTCACGATTATGGTTTCTCATATTCAGTTGAACACAGGAATTTTAAGAAATTATAATGATGTGGCAAATGGCTTTCCCAAGTCCTATATTTCAAGCTGATTTACGATGTTGTTTAAAATAGGAGCATCAATCTGTGTTATAATTATCTCTTAAGTCAAACAGAAACGTATAAAAACAAGCAAGAGCTCTTTATTTCCTATCTTATCACTCCCCTCTGGCTTTCTGAGAATGCATTTATCAGGGAACTAATAGTTTCAAATATATACAGTGAATGAATCTAGGTAAAGTGGCAATGGAGAGCAGGCCAAGGCATTAAAAAATAAATGAGGTTGATGCTTTGGCCCTCCCACTTACAAATCACAGCTTAGGACAGAGATTCAGCACGGATGACATGAGTTATTCTCCCTAGTCCCACTCCCATTTTTTAAGAAAAATCACAAATTTGTTCACAATATGCACCACCAGGCATTTTGTATATTTATTTCAGTGTATCTGCATCATTTTGCATGCCTGGGGAGATAGAGGTCTTTGTTTCATCTCCAAATCCCCCGGGTAAGATATATAAGCACGATTAGAAGCAATGCTATTTCTACAGGGAGCGTTTCTTTGTTTTGCTTTATTTTTGTTCTTGTGAAGGTTAATGGACTGGCAGCCTTGAAAAATGAGCTCCCTAACACTGGAAGGATATGGTTGTGACGGATATGATGCTGTGGTGTTTAAATTCCTCCTAGTCTCTCTGTCTTTGACACAGATATAAAAGGGAAACGTCAATGTGTCCTTTTTAATTTAGTCGGTGAGATTGAATTTGTTGATTCTTCTCGATTACATTGTAAAAGTCTTGCGATGACCACA